GTTTCTGCATCCTTTTTCTTCATGATTAAAATGAAGTACACAGTATATTTTAGTAAAATTCTGATCATCGTCACATCGTCGTGAGATCGTTGTATACATTTCTTAACACTGTACTCTTATTCAACAGAGAAAACCTGCTACTTACAGAATGGAATAAAATCTGACAATTGTAACATTAACAATTTAAGCAATCTTAATAACTAAGAAAAACACATATATTAATGTTTAATTTTGTTCACGTTAAAACACTGACATAAAACATAAGTACATACTGTAGACCTAATCATAAAAAATTGAAATAGAAAAACCACATTATGATTTTTTTAAATGTTAAAAATTTATTTTGAATCCGACTAAAATCAAATGAATGCACGATGGCGTGCATTTCGATACTATTTTCTTCAGAACCACGCCCAAGAATTTGGCCTACGTTAAAATTAGGTGGGGTGCAGCATCTGATATCAATTATCCACAATAGGAACAATTGGTATTGTTGAGTGACAGACTTCAGTCCTTCATATTTGTTCGACCATTGGGGGATATGTTTGAAACCCGTCAGTGACAAGGATGCATCCAATGACGTGATTAGATGTGTATAAGAGACAGACCAAAACTACTGTCAAAATTCATAATAATGATAATAAAGGTGATAACAAAAACAATATTAATAGTAATATTTATTTTAACAATACTAATAGAAATAATATGGTAATAATAACGATATTTAAATATCTATTTTAATAATACTAATTAGAGATAATAACATTGAAGGTGATAATAGCAATAATAACAGCAATAATAAATTAAAGATAACGTTTATTTTTATAATAATAGTAATACTAATTAGTAATAATAATAATAATAATTATGATACTTATAATACTAGGCCTACTTAGTAATAATAGGGTAATAATATTGATAATAAAGGTGACAACAACAATGACAACAACAACAATAATAATAATAATAATATAATAATAACAATAATAATAATAATAATAATAATAATATTAGAAAAATACCAATAAAACACCAATAACAATATTTTTAAAATTACTATTATTAAAATAATAATACTAAGACTAATATATAATAATATGAATTTAAAAAATCGAGAATTTTGTATTATTTATATTGTAACAATAATAATATCAGCAAAAATTTAAACAATACATAATGTTAATGCTAAGACTAATAATTAATATTAAACTAACGGTAATGAAAACAACAATAATAATAACAATGACACCAATAATAACAGCAATATTATTGTGGCCGAGTTGACTTGTGGCCGAGTTAACTTGTGGCCGAGTTGACTTGTGGCCGAGTTGACTTGTGGCCGAGTTGACTGCAGCCGAACTTTTTGTGGCCGAGTTGATTTGTGGCCGAGTTGACTTGTAGCCGAGTTGACTGTGGCCGAGTTGACTTGTGGCCGAGTTGGATCGAATTCCTACCGAGCGCTCCGGCTTGTTGACGTGTTTTTTATTGTGTGTTTTTTCTAAAAGACAATTTAACGTAATGATCAAATAATAAACTTACCTTCCATAGTTTCATAAAATTGTATATGATCAGATTAAAAGTTAGGGTTTCTAAAAGTGTCAGCAGAAGTTGAATTCAGAAAACGGACGTCACATAGCCTAGGTCCTACATCATCCAACGAAAAACAGGCGCAAAGTGGCAATCGGTCAACGGTTGCGCGTTCGCGTAGATAAATTGTCACATGACGCTTGTTGACGAATCAGTAAATTTTATTCATGGCTAGGACTCATTATAAATGCATGGATGATGACGGTGACTACGTAGATTTATACATATAGATTAATGTGTTAAAGTTAAAGAAAACAATTCAACCTGAATAAATTGGTTCAGATTTGATTGTACCTATGTTAATTGTTTGGGTGTAGCATTGGGTACGTTTGGTCTTTATAAAATATGTAAATTAAATTTCTGGAATAAAGTGGTGGTCAATTTTGGTTGCGAGATAACGTTGTGAACGCTGTGATTTAATTGTGATAAACGTGTTTATAAACGTGTTTGTAAGTATTTTTCTTACGTTATCAGGCCCGTAGCCAGGGGGGTTTTATGGTTCGGGCGAACCCCCTTTTTCTAGCGAACCCCCCCTGTTTTCTAGCGAACCCCCTCAAATTTTTGAATGAGTCCCACTCGAACGGAATGTCTGTTTTTAACTTACCCATCATTAAACCAACATTTAGCACCTAATTCATTATTTGGTCACCCGTTTTTAAATTCTAGCCTGCGATACAAGCCTTCATTCACAGAATATCTCAGCTTCAAAAATTTGGAGATTTAAATTGAACGTAACACAAACAATGAATTTACGATGGCTCACATATAAGGATGGCAAACATCGATAAAAACCCGGCTCCCGTCTCAACTTTGACTGGACTTTGCCTGGATGTTTGTAAGAAATGTACCAAACCAAATGCAGCTAAAGTTTCGCGACTTAATCACCTGATTCTGGACTGTGTGGTTAGTAAATTCCATAGCCATACTGTCCACAGCGCACACTAACCTATTTGCTGATGGAGCATTTTTGGGAAATTGACTCCTTTTTTCCATCCCAAACAAAAAATCAACATGGTCGTTCTCAGTCATCATAGCCAGTCACGGAATTTGGTTGTTTTCAACAGCAGACACACACACAACAGAACGGAGTGCGTCAAAACGAGTGTTAATTTTTAGTGATAAAGAATTACGAAACGTCGTAGAATAACTGACTTTTTTCGTTCACTGTGGCAAAGAAGAAAACGACAGATAGTCCTTTAAGATGGGTTATTTTCACAAAAACGTGATGTAATAATGAAAAAATTATTATTATTGTTCATTTTCAATTTTTTTCCTATTTTTCTTTCTTCCTCTGCTTCTTCCATATTTTCGTTTAAATTTTATTTGTTATACTAAATACATATTTACGCATAATATTTCTATGTATGTATATAAATTTATATCATTTTAATACAGATTTACATATTTTCTGTAATCTAGAAATAGGTTTATGTATACTTTGTGTCTGTATTTAACATGTTTCAATCTTTTGCTTTATTTAAATATCAAGTATTATCATAAAGTTTAATGATTACATTATTTCATATAGTATTTTACATAAATGTATAAACTATTTTAAATATTTAAATATAAACTATGAAAGTAAATACACGTAGATTAGATCAATAAAAATGGACATATTAGGCCTCGTAATCTTTATCTATCTTTAACACGAATAACATTTTCAATATTCTAACTAGATTTGAACTCGTCACTGAGGACGAGTTAGGTGATCCGCCGCAATTTGACCCTCATTAAGATCACGTGGTGCTGATTGAAAAGTGTCATAATATGCTAAAATATGCTGTAATTAGTTTTTTTTAAAAAAGAATAATTTTGAGCATTTTAAAAGATTTCCGCATTTGTACATGTACGTCTTGACGCCCGTGAGCACGGTAATAGCACAAAGAGTGACTCCTGATATGAATAATGTGTCAGGAACACAAAGTATGTAACAAAACGTGATTTCCAGCTTTAATATGTGCTGTGTGCGTGGAAATGAACGTACTGAAGGTACGGCGGGTAAATTATGGAAAGTTTTGAAATGTCGAAAATGACCCGAAACGTTCTTTAAACTATCTGAATAGTAATATAGAGAATTTTCAAATTTTAACAGATACGCACGTCACCATGTGTGCGTGTACAGTAATATCACACGAAATTAAACATTGTCAAGTGCATTTAAAACCGCCTGTTAGTTGGTAATGCCACACGAACTTTCCCTTCACATAACCTATATATATATATTAGTCTGATAGCGTTGAAATACAGTCTGCCGCCCTCATCTGTTCTATTGTTTAACATCTTTTAAGAATGAGAGATAAAAGAGCTTCAAAATTCATTCTTTTTGACCATGTTGACGTGATCAAAATGAAAAATAAAGGGACACGTCTTCAAGAGAA